TTTTTTTTTTTTAATAAAAGGTTCTGGTGCTCTCGGCCTGGTCAAAGACAACCTTGACGAAAGACCGTTCAAAATCGTCTGGGAAGTCTTGCGTCGTTGTCCGATCTGTAATAACTACATAACTACTTTACCCTGGTGACCCCAAAATCACTAGAAAAGGGATTGGATTGTGAATGTGTCTTTTTCATGGCTTATCTACATAATGTCGCCACCTTTCAAGGTGAACGGAGATGGTAAGATTCATATCCCCAACTGGGACAACTGCCTGGAGCTGCTCCCGCTCTATCGGTCTATACTAATGGACTTCGCTCTCGCGAATACCTACCCGCCAACTAAGGCGATGAAGCCCAGAAGACATCGTTAGCGTCGACTTTTTTGTGCGAATCCTATTTTTGTTTTTTTCTTCTTCTCTTTGATTGAACAACATAGAACGCCCCATTTGTCGCTTCTTATCTGCACATCAACGGCCTGTTTGTTGCAAGTGTGTGCGCTGGTGATTGTTCAGCCATAGGCGTGCTTTCTGTCTCTGGGACTTTTAAACACCGATCCCATCTAGTTTGCAATTGGCGATGCGGGATGCCCATGGATTCGGCTCGGTGTCCAGGATACGGAGCCACATATCGGGGGGTTAAATCGTCAAGCGGTGACAGATGCCATTCGTGCTGCGTAAATGGAGCGGTGATACAGTTAAACCGAGCAACTCTGTCTCGATAGACCATCGCCTAGGAGCGCGTTTTATTACCCTACTTGAGAATAGCCATCAGTAAAGGCCATGATTATTTTAGTACGATGGTCACGGTTGGATTTTCGTTACCCATCCCACCTGAATCCCATTTTATTGGGTTTCTCTCCTTTTTGCCGTACTCCGTAGTATATCCAGGCAGATAGACATGGAAGACACAGTCTTTAGGCCATCATTCCCAGAGAACGGAGCCAATTCCCCGGATCGGATGCTCCATTTGCATTATCGTGTCATTTACATTATCGTGTCCAAGATTTCTTGGACAGCGCACCACTCGGCACAAGCCAGACAAAGTCTGCCAAGTGAACGAATTGGTTTCCGAAGCCCTCCAACAGCATATTTACATCCTACTCCATACCACGAGCTGCGTCTGGAAATCCCGCCGTTGCCTCCTTCCCCATCGCTTTCCAAGTGCTCACTGCGATCGTCGCTGCAGAGAAAGGAGGTCGAATCCGCGTGGCTATGAGATAAAAAGAACTTCGAGTAGCGGGGTACTTTTCGGCTTGTACTGTTGCACACTGGCAAAGTCAGAAAAGGCATAAATGGCATGTAAAGTATTCCATGACTCCACTTTATGAAGTAGTATAATCAACGTTCTAACTTTGCGGATTCTTCGCAAGGCTAGGATCACCTGGCTCCAGGTCAAATCGTCTAGCTTCGAATCGTTCTCGTCGCTCGTCTCGGAAGGACGCGTCCATTCTTAACATCTGTCCATCGCAGAAGACAAGATCGAGGCATTGGCCATGGTATAGACGATCGGGAGAGAACGCTATGGCGGTATGTTGGCTGAGGCCCAAGCCAAATTCATTCGCAAGCATAGCGATGTCTAACAATGCCACAGTGACTCGTGTTTCTTTCCCCCCTTGAGGAACCAGGAGCGGATGACCACCGAATGTCGTGGGCAGGATGATGCCGCAAATCATGGCACTTAGATTGTACTGGAGTGCGGTGGCGATGAACCCTCCAGGTGCAGCACAAAGATCAGGGATGATTCAACAACATTTTCGGTACGAAGCTTTCTCCTATCGAAAGTCGTATCCTCAAGCGTTATCCTTACTGTAAGCTGTTGCAGCTTGCGGGAAGTTCTGTTGCAGAAGTGCTATACCAGATTTTGTGACTGCAAGGGTGTGAGCCGCGATAGAAGAAGGGCTCAAGTTCACCGCGGGGTAATGCTTGGCGAGCTGCAGGGCTACCCAAGGACTCCGACCAGAACCTCTGTGGCAAATTACATGGCAAAATAATGAGCTTCAAATGACCGGAGGGAATGGTGTATGTAAAGTAAGATCGGCGCGGACCCGTTTTTGCGGTAAGTTCATTGGTCAAATAGCGAAGCTTAAACATTGCCATTTTGGGCTAAGCGTAGCTTATAGTGGAGTAGACGCGATCAAGTCCTGTTCCGCTCAACTGCAAGCCCATTGGTCTGTATCAACATGTCGTGGTGCACGGTATCTCACCGTGTCGGTATCGGCTTTCGGACCACCTCCGAATAGCCAAAAGTCTTTGTCCCGGACCCATTTCAAGTTCTCGCTCTCCAAGAGTCGCCGTGCTTCCTTAGGGCGCGCATCCCGCGTGAGCCTCAATGCTTGTTCCGCAATCTCGAGGTGTCGAGGGTTGTCAAGCCAGACAGCATCTTCAGAGGACGGGGAAGGAGGCGAAACGCCGAAATGGTCAGGGGCGAAATCGGAGTCTGCGTCCGTGGAAACAACCAGCTCTGTGAACAGTGATGGGATAGAGTGATCATCGTGGTGATGGCGAGCAGCGTCCGCGAGATTAAGGCGCAC